CACAAATGAAGTATGTTTGATAGTTTGGGGGTTCTGTTTTGTTCTTCTCTAGAAGCATTAATGACTATTTGGTTATTTCTTTTGATGAGATGAGCTTTCTCTGGAATTCCACAACGAAATTTAAATCAAAAACTGGAGGTATTAGAAGAGTTTAGAATCCGAACTATCACTCCTTGGTTTCGAGAATTAATTTATGTCTGTCAATTTGAACGAGGAAGATGTACTGTTCTAACTGTTGTTGATGGTATCTGTCGGGAAAGTTGATCTGTTGAATTCGTTTTTCAGCGATATGGATTTATTCGGGATGTAATATTGTTCTTGCACGATATTACCAATTAATAATGAAAAGGTATGGCTATATATTACGCGATGAATTGGTAAGCAGTGATGAGTTATACAATAAGCAAGCAATATGATCAACTAACAAATTCCTTGTCATTGCCCTCGATAATAATTTGACTGTCAGTTAGTTGATAGGTCGTTCATTTGGGATATGTTACGGAAAATGTATTTAGCGAATAGCAAAAATATCGTAGTTTGTTGTCTAATGGTGGCAGACATCCAAAGATGTCGTTGTTTATGGTTTAATCGTGCAGAATAGGCGAAGAGGATGCATCGTCTGCTCGATTGTAAAAACTGGGATATTTATATATATAAGGATTGGGGAGGAGTCTGTAAGCTCCATCGGGGTCATCATGGAGGTATGGCTAGACTTTGGCATTATTGTCCTTTGTATAGGTACAGTGATATCTTTGTGTTATGCAGTCCACTGCTAGTTTATATTCTCTTAATTGCTTTAATTTTACTTACAGGATTTCATCACTCTGTTTGTTAGATATCGTGGAAATTTTACTTGAACATAGCTTTAATTTCGGTAATCCGACAGTATCATTTTCATTATTAAGTTATGGTATTTGGGTTTTATCACTCCTGAAATGGCAAGAAAATCATGGCGTATTTTTGAGCGTTAACTCCATTTTAGGTTGCATGAACCGTCCAATTTATTCAGAGAATTATTTTGTTCGTTTTTGATTTAGCATAATATTAAACTAAAAAGTGAATTTCTTTGAGCTGACAGATAAATGGTAGCGAAACTTTGTCGGTGATTATGATCTTCATTTTTTCATTTTCAAAAAGGTCTCTTCGATAATACATTTTGGTTATGATTAGTGTGAAATTTTTACGCTCCTGACTTTATAAATTTTCAAAACTTAATTTTGAAATTTCGATTTAAGTTACAAGTCTGTTAATTCAAAGAAAAGTAAATAAAGAAATAAAGTTTTTAAAAAAGAATAAGGGGAAGAAAAGTAAAAAAAATAAAGAAAAAAAATAAAAAGAAAAAATAAAGAAATAAAGAAACAAATAAAGAAATAAAGTTTCAAGAAAAGGAAAAGGAAATACTATTCAAATTGTTATTAGGGGTATCATTTTACCATTTCTTTCTGTCAACTTATACCAAAATGTTGAAAATTTTAAATTTCAAGTCATATCTGGTTAAAATTCGATAGCACTGATATCCCAAAAATTTCCTTCCTGGGAAAATTTTTGGTAATGATAATGAATATTTTCCTTTTTTTGGGGGGAAGATTTCTGACAAATCCATGCATGAAAAGATTTCTTAGTAAATCGCACATAATTAACAAATATGTCGAAAGGAATGGACAAATTAACAATTAAACTTATCACCGATTTATCCGCATATAAAGACGGTAAATGCTCAAAAACCAAATAATAAGCGTAGACAGATATAGGGAGAGCAAGAGAGAGAGAGTTACAAGCTAAACTTTGGCATTCTTTCTGAATTTCCTTTTCTTTGGATAAGAGGAATGTCGAAAAGCCCCACGTTTTGTAACCGCCTCTCGAGCCTTTATTTCTTGATATTTTTTGCGCTGCTTAGTCTGCAAATCCGCGTCCGCCAGAAGTTCTTCAACAACTGTCCTCTTACGCTGTTTCTTTGGGACGCGAGATGAATAGAAATCTGCTTTTGTTTCAATAACAGTGCCAACCTGAAATAATTTTTATTCCTAGATTCGTCCTTATAATACACAAAATGACGAATATCTGCCAAAATTGGGAAATACAGAGAGGATTTGGTATTATTACGCATATTTTGTCTTCATTGCACAACAGACATAAACGTCATAAGCTTCAGAACTAGTTTGCAGTTTGCATATCTAATCCTTTAAAATCTTTTAAACGTTAAGTCTAACTTTTTTATTAATTTTCGTTTTTTTCTGTTTCGGGACATTAAGTCTAGCTGCTAGATGGGAACCTTATTAAATTGTAATACGTCAGTAATCTACAAACTAATTGACCAGTCAATTAATTTCATGTGAGAAAACAGAAAAAAATTCAAAAATTAACAAGAAATCCTCAAAGCACTTAAAAATTAAGGTGACGTAAAGGACTTGACTTTAAATCTATACTCTTAAAACTAACCTGGAAATATTTCGGTAACACGGAACGATCATTCTTTCTGTAATGAGCTTTCGAATCAATAGAACCTCTCATCTGAAGAATTTCCAGATCACGTTTCCTTTCCTCGGTCATTTCACATGCCGGGAGGTTATACCAGGCATCACCTTTCGTGCGCTCTCGATTCGCCTAAAACACCAAGACTCATTCAAAACTTAAGGCATAACATCGACAGACATAGTTTCCGAATTGGATGATGCTAAAATTCATAAAGGATACCTTTCTTTGTCTCTTCAATTCTCGCCAAGATATTGGCACATGTGCTTCACCGAGGTATTTTTCAAAACCAGGTTTTATTATGCTTTTTGATAGCAGCTGAAAGGAATAATAATTTCATAGCGTCAGTGATTGCTTCTTATTAAGTGGATTTGGCTTTTTTGATGATTATTTCTCCACGGTGTACGATGTACCGTACCATTTGTTGCTTATAAAAAAAAAAGAAAAAAACAACATGCGCTAGAGCGTAGTGAAAATGTAAAAAGAGTTTCAGCAATAATCACAATTCTTCATTGAAGCAACCAAAATTTTGCAGTCTTGAAAAACTTTAAATTGGTTGCATACCTCTTTCGTTGCCTCATCTAAAATTGAATGGGCAACCGGTGTTTTATTTTCCGTACTGCATTCTGCTGCAAAGAATGGCTTACTGACAATACTGCTATTGATATTACTGGTACCATCAGTATCCAGAACAAATAAATCATCTTTTTCAACTTCCTGAAATATAAATTGACGTAAGTTTGAATTTTTTGAAAAAAGAATTTCTTCCGATCTGAAATCTGAAATCCCCAACAAAGACTTATAGCTTCAAATTCAGTCTATGCTAATTAAAATAATGAGAAATCATAGGAAGTTTTGTCGTGAAAATATGAAACCAGCATTATATATATTAAGAAACCACTTCAAAAAATATCTCACACAGAGTGCCATAAACATTATCCTTCGGTTCAAATTCAAATTTATTTAAAAAAACCAGACTTATCAAAAAAAAAAGCGATAAATGACGAAAGGAGAATAAGTTTTCTTTTTTATCCACATAATTAACATACTTAATCACTTAGAATTTCTGTGGGGAAAAAAAAATTCACCTCATTTTCAGAACAGCGAAATCCCACTGTTTTCCTCAATGTCACCTTCTCCTTCACATTCTGTCCATCACCTTCAGCATCACTCGATGAACTCCCTTCATCTTCTGGAAACAACAGCTGATTATGATCAGTTCGCATTTCTGAAATACAGAGCAAATAAGAAGAGCAAAATCAATACTTCCTTATCAGCATCAGTTTTCAAGTGCACTGTCTTTAAAGCACATTAGTTATATAAAACACCACCTCACCATAGATTTTACTTATCTACGAAATCAAGATTTAACTAATACTATATCGTACTGATGCATGTGATAAAAACTATGTTTCACATGCTGCCCAACCACCGTGAATGTTTTGGTAAAGTCATCGATCATTCAGATCATAATTGCCTAGTAAATAATTTTCTTTTTATTAGCGTTAAATTTGTATCATCATATGTAAAGCAAAACATTGAGCTTTCATGAGAGAATTGTCGTTTGAGGAAGTTGCACCGCTCATTATTTTTTGAATAATGACAGGGCGCTTTTTTGTACATATATTTATTTGGGATTAAAAGATCATTATGAATTGAAATCACTATATTTAATTTGATGGAAATAAGAGATAGCAAATGATAACGCATAAAAATATTACCCCACAGCACGTCCAAATCATATTATTTAACATTGCAAGATTTAGAAAGGCTTTTCAGTTTGGCTCAGACCTGATGCTTCACTAGGATCTACAAGTTATCACAATGAGTGGTAGTACAAATGCAACTGCAACTAAGCTCAAAAATTGCATTTTCCTGCAATTTGAGGCATTTGCTGCAGAATACATTTGAAAGAATTGTATGCAAAGTGGTAGCAATTTAAATCGATCCCGTAAAGTATCAAATAATGAAATACAAAACAATACACATAATGCTAGCAATCAATTTTTACTATTATTACAAAAGTTTTGGCAGAATTTACAATTATATTTTAAATTGCAGAAATTTTTAGTCGAATCATGGTACAAGCACATAACAAACCATTCGCGGTAATATACATGTATATAATATAGGTAAAGAACGAATTAAGGGACAAAAACATGATGAAAGTCTGCTTCGGTAGGTGATAATGTAAAAGCCAAAGAAACTGAAAAATCAAAAATTGAGGTAGCAACTTTAAAACAAAAAGTCATTCCCTACATGTATCATTTACATAAACTCAATCGTATCGTTTTCGTAAGCATCAGAGTGGGTACAATACCATTTAGACACAACTTTCTTTTCAGCATCCCTATCACAAGGTTCTCTTCCCTATCCGATGAAAGAAAAAAAAAAAAGATGGTCGGAGTGGTTGTTCTAAGTTCCTGAAATTTAACCATAAAATATGACTACTGAACTTCAAGTGTCGAAAGAATCAGCTCAAAATAAGACACAAAGATATCTCATTAAACCTTAGCAAAGATATATATGAAAGTACGTTGCAGAAACACAGACCATTTAAACCAGACGTAAAATTTCTGGAAAGTAGGAGAGCAGAAAGCATTACGTGTATTAATCCTGCAAAGATTTAAGAAATGGATGCATCATAAAAAAGTAATTTCTCACGGAAATTTAATGGGAAACTAAAAGCTCCATCATTCAATAATATCAGCAATATTCCCTGACCAGATATTAAAAATCAGGAAGAAAAACGAATCCCGTAGCACAGCCCTGAACCGTCTTAGAAGGATAACAAATCAGGACAATAATAAACTTAATAACAGTGCAATTAAAAAACAAAAAAAAAAAAACAAGAAGAAACTAGTTTATTCTAATCACAACACTGAATTCAAAAATGGATGAGCTTTGCTCCGCAATCGAGTCGCGATCATCTACTTTTAACAGTGGATGTGTCCTTGGATATGGTCGAGTTATGCTACTATGGGCGGTCCATACATGTAGTTCAGTGAACCCATCTGGATTCGGTTTATAGCGTCTCATATGACGGATGTCATACAACGGATTCGTTGAATAATCCGATGTGTTCCCGAAACGATAGCGAAAATTCTCGAAGCGCATCAGATGACGCTCAAAATCAGCATCCATCAAAGCCTGCAAACTTCGATCATGCCGTCTCATTTTCGTCACTACTTCCGTCAGGGGTGTTGTGTGTCCTCTGCTCGATGTTGGGAGCAATGCCTAAAGAACGATTATTCTTACTGGTATATCTCCTCCACACATGTGTCGTAATTTAGAATTTAAATACTGTTTTTTTTAACCTAGTGTGAAACGACATGAAGTGAAGTAAATACTCGATAAAAAGAAGATATCAAAGTATTTGAATTTTAAAAGTGCAAATCAAGCGAACAAAGAATCCAAAAGATTTTAGTAAGTATTTCCTATATAGATCGAACCCTATTTTTCACCAAGCTTTAAAATTCAAATGACAGCGAATAAAAGATGTTTACCTCTCTTTCTTGTCGTTTTAATACATAGTTGACCATCCCTTCCATTGACTCATCAGTAACTTTTGGACAGAATGAAATATCAAGCGCAGTTAAAAACTAAAAATAGCATTTAAAAATCTCAAGATTAGTACAGAACTTAGTGAATGATCCCATAAGACCATGTCTTTTCTTTTCTGTTAATTTATATCAGCAACAAGGAATGTATATAGTAGTATACTGAAATGTGATCCTGGACACAGCACTTTCTCCAAGCTTTGTCATTCTTCGCTAAATCAAACGGATGCTGGTCAGGCTACTTACGAAACACATTAGTATTGATTTAAATATCAGGGTCTTTTATTGCATAGTATGAATATTCAAATGTGTCTATTTTCAAGTCTCTTCGAAACTATTTTGTGAATCGTTTCACAGATAAGTGGAATCTCATGAGAACTTCGAAAATAGCAATAAACCTAATATGCAAACTAACCGGACAGTGTTTCAGCAGCATTTTGATTGCTTCATCAGAGATCTCGTCACATCGATGCAGAAGCACAGTCTGCAGAAACGCAAATGTATATTAACAATCTTCAAAGCACTTTTCAGTTGAAAGAAATACATTTTTTCCCATCCGTCTTATCCCTTAACTAGACAAATAAAACAACCCTTTAGTAACAAAAATCAACATTCATGGACGATGTCAACTACAGTCACGCTGGGTGGTAAAAGAATAAGCTTATTTGTGCTCCCACAACCAAAAGGAAGTTTGCTGAAGGAAAAATTGCTGACCTGTAAAGTGCCTTTCTCTGCGATTATTCGGATCGTCTGATCATCTACCACTCTCATGTAAGACAAGTTCAAGTGACTGAGGTATGGTAGTTTTGCAAGCTCACGTAGCCCAACATTACTAACAAAACGACTGCAACCACTCAAATCAACATACTTCAGTTGCTTGCATCCAATTACTGTATTTCGCAAAACCTGAAGTTTGAGCAGTTAAAAAGCTGTAAAAAAGGGATATAAAAAGAGCCAAGTAATTTGATCTGATAAAGCATTATAAATTTCATGAACATTCACAAAAACCTCGTCGTCTTCGGGGATTACCCATACTTTCCAAGAAAGAATTCATGCATGAAAAAAAACTTCAGTCACGTCTCTTAACACAATATGTATCCAATTTTAACCGATGAAACCAATAAAACAGGATTGAAAACTTAAAAGTTGCCTCATCTGTCATCAGCAAGTTGTCATAAACAGTCAGTTCAGTCAGGTTCTTCATCAGACTGAAATTTATCTCAATTCCTCCAAGCGTATGCGAAACATAACATTCACCGAATTTGAGCAACTCCAACCTAAAATTAATAATGTTGAGGAAAATCCCCAACTTTGCTAAATAAAAAGATTCGCATATTAACCGCCATTTTAAACAGTCTAAGAGACAAAATCAGCCTGTATTTCGTCAAAATCTAATGATGAATACGAGAAATACAACATCAATTCAATTGACTGTTTCTTCCCATCCCAGGATCGATTAGGAGTTGTAAGTGTAATGGAAAAATTTTTTAGCCACTTCGAAAATTTAAAATGTTTTCTAAAAGTAAACCGACGTGCGTGCTTGTTTTAGGTGACAAAAACTGAAAGTACTTACTTGGGAAGTGAAGCAAAAAAGCTGTTCAAATGAGTAGGCGATATGTTGTCAACACTATTCATCGTCAGAGCAACTAGATCCGGGCACCTAAGGCCGTATAAACTTTCAGTTTCAGTAAATTTTAGAGTATCATTTACTTTGCATAAGCAACTTATTTTAAGACCATATTAAATAATACAAAACCCATGCATGAGAATAAATTCATGCATAATAAATTTATAACTTATAAAACTCACAACTCATACATAAAACAAACCTATCTCTTATAGCGAACAGTGACGCTGCAGTCAACCGAAAGCATCCACAGATTTTTAAATTGACGATGGATCGCGGCAACACGGTAAACGATGGAAGTCCAGTAAGACGCTCATTCTCACCTACGTCAACATCTTTCAAATTTTGGCACTTAGAAAAAAAGGATGTAAGTCCTCGTTCCACAACGCTTTCCTGAGAAGAATGTAAAACAAAATATGCACTCTGTAAATTACTATCCAAAAAAAGGGAAAGATTACATATTTCAATATAACAACATTGTTAAGAGATGCATCAAAAAAACTAATGAAGAAATAAACTAAGTCCCTCGCTTCGGTTAAATTATTTTAAAGGAAGAAAGTTTGGACACAATTTTAATATACGACAAAAAATTAGAATTTTAATATGGAATGAAATATAAGAATTTTGACGACTTCTTACGAAAACATATATCCTGGAATTCATTTCTGTTCTCTTCCATTCTCCCCTGAATCTAGCATATCTATGCAAAAAGATAAGTATCCAACAAAAAAATTCAATTTAAAACTTTATATTGGTTAAAAATTAATACTGTTTAGTTTAATTCAATGTGAATCAACCTAAAAAGCTCACAGACTGAAAACAATCTTATTAAAAGCTATTCAGAATTGTTAGGTATGTTTTTCTTTTCTTTTTTTTTTTTAAATATTCAATGAACCTGAAAACATCGATGGAAATTAACGATTTCCAGATTTGGACAATGTCTTCCGAGTGATTTCAAGGACGAATTGGTCAACTGAATACCATACATATTCAGAACAGTCAAATTTGGACAATATACGGCGAAAGCACATGCAAACATTATACGTTAATGTATCTCTGAATGCATGTAAATCCATCTCAAGCAAATGCTCACCACAGCGCTGTGCCAAAGACTTTATCTAGAATTATTACTATTAATCTCCGCACGAAAGTAAAACTTCATTCTCAAATTAAATTATCTGCAGCGTGCTTTGCCTAAAGTCTCAGAACTTCGGCTGCCAAATTACAGAATCCCTCACTAGCTAAAGAAATCTCCCTTCTTACCCATCCCAGACGAACGTTATAACTAAATAGACCAAAATACATTTTGAAAACTACGAAAAATTTTTAAATATAATAGAAAAGCGAACTTCTTTGTTGCCAACCGATGGACGTTCAACCAAGCAGGGCAGCGAACATTCCTTATCACCAATGAGTGATGAGTAGGAGAATTCGGTTGTCATTGCCCACGAATAATTCTTGGCAATATGACGCCATCGGCGACAAACCCGCTCTATCCTTATGCGATCCACAATTGGTAATAGCGTAAAAATTGAGATCTGAAGAGAAAAATAAATGAAACTTTTCGAAAAGCAATCTTCTATATTAAATCATCAATATGGATAATCTGTCAACCAGCATTAGAAAAATACTATCCAGGACAGTTTAAAATCTTTAAATTCGCGGACTTTCAAGAAATATTGGTTACCATTCCACTCCACCTAATCAACTTTCTAGCTAATTAGGGAGTAATCTTAATCAAAACAGAATCTGGCAGGATCGAAAGAAATATTACCAGAATATGGTTTGGAATTGAACTGATATCCTCCTGAACAATGTCCTCTTGCGTCTTGTCAGTTTTTTCCCTACTCGATTTATTGTTTTTACGCTTCACCAACTGTGCATTATTGTCGCCGTTGACAGGAAGATGCAGTGACTGTTGTTGCTGCTGATGATGATGAGCCGTTGAGCTACAGCCGGAAGTTGTCGGTGCACTCAAATCCTCAACATCAACTCTCAAATCTTCAGCCATTTAATAAACATATCAAATTGTCACAGTAAGGTCAATTTTACTGAAGCCAAATAATTGAAAGTAGATATTTCTCTTCACGGTCTGATGACAGAACAACAATCTAAGCTCAACAAAAACTCAATGGTAAATATTGTCTGCTCGATTACATTCTATTCCAAGATAATGTGAGCATATCAGCGATGCATAGAATTTCAAGATATTACTGAAACAGGCGAAATCCTCCAGGACTACATCTATGTAAGTCAATTATGAATTTAACTAAAAGGGAATTCACCGAAAATTAATCTCTTACCTGCACCTTTCGTTTTGCCGACTTTTCATCCCGATTGGCAGGTGCTGCTCTTTTCATTCTTCGTCCTTCAGTTCTTCGCGGTTGCACAGTAGTACGAGGATACTGCCCCGAGGCAGCATGCGGCTCCTCAGTATTTCGATTACTTCGGAGTCTCATTGTTTTAGTATAAATATTATATAACTAATAAAATGAATGGATAAAACTTTTCAGTCACATTTTGCTTCAATTTAACAAACAAAATGCGATAAACAATGGCATTAAAGTGTGCGCCAAAAGAAAACGGAAAAAAACAAAAAAAAAATTGATTAGCAAGAAAAATTCTAGCCAAAGTGATCTAAAGTTAATTTACTGAAAATTTTTGAGAAAAAAGCTATCGGTTTCATTACTCTGCGAAACGGAGTAGTCAAACAGTTCTAACATCAGGATGAACGCATGTTTTAAAATATATCTTAATCAGTGATCAAAGGAATTGATTTTTCTGGATCATATTACGGCTTGCAGATTATCTGCCAGATTTATTAACAGCTATAAATCTCATTTATAGTAAATTCATAGAGAAACGTGGGACTCAAATTCCGAAATCTGAATCAGAAAAAAAATCAAAAGCTTCTTAAATCAAGATAAAAATTTAGATCCATATGTTTTCAATCTAATAACCAAACTTATATTCACTAGTTAAAATATTATAAATAAATTCTCCTATATGAAGAGGAAAACTTTCATCATAGACGAAGATCACTGGATTAACAGCGCGTTTCAATTCACTTCATAAAATCCTATACCTCATCAGATCCCAACTAAAATACATCCTCAGTCAAAGTCCCATCAAATTTCCCCTATATGCGACAACAAAGAAGAATAACCCAATAATCAATTCTACCCATGATATTCTCTGGTAATTACCTCATAACATAAACGACGAATAAATCTCTGCCAATCAATAAAACCTTTATCATAAGTGTTCTTACTATGCTAATCATTAAAAAACTTCCACAACATTATGAGAAATTCCAATCAACAAACAAAACTTCGGAATCTATTGAAAAACACGTGGTGAAATGAAGCAAGTAAGTAGAGAATAAAGTTATGGCATCGTTCAATAAAAATATTAACTTTTAGAGTTGCTTAAATTATTAGTATTGATGAAGAGATGAATTAAATTAATTACTGGCTTAAATTACATATATTTTCTTTAAGTAACATATGCTACCGTCATACATCTACGTCACGTCAGACGTTTACTTCCACGTCTCACTCACGCAACCATCTACCACTTAATCCCATAGATTACTGCATGCTACTCTCCTCTGCCATCACCAACATGTACCTCAATTCCATCGAGACACGATGAAAACGTTCCATCCTGACGACTGTAGCGCATCACGTATGCGCAGTTGACCAAGTGACTCATCCCAATACGGTGTTATCTTCATTTAGTGTGAGATAATCATCTCTCTCGTTCTCCGTAAGATATATTAACGTATCAGCATGAAGTCATCAGGATTATTGTCGCATATATGGTCAACTAATCATCTGTGAATAACTCAATTTGTTCCGAATGTTTCCATACGGGATAAAAGTGATAACAACGTTGAATCAAAGAGAAATTGGCATTTTGCTATCGATCAAACGGCCTTATTCTATGTTCGGACCCAAGAAAAGGTTATTTGGAAAATTTTCTTCAAATTAAATCGTAGTTAAAGGTTAAAAAAGTAGAAAACAAGTAGAGAAATATGAGAGGACGAACTTAATAATAGTTAAGTGAGAGAGAAGAATAAAAATAGTAGGAAGTAAGAGGATGAAAAGTAAAGGGAAATCTGAAAAATTGAATCTGTAAAGGGATCTATTAATCCAGAAATTGAATCCATTATCTTTAGAAAACAACTTTCCCATTCTATGCGTCATTTTTTTGATGATGCTTTCGAAATCAAACTTTCGATGAGAGATATTTCTTTCTAAAGATAATGTTCAGAATCACAGAGTATGAGAACTGTTAGTGTTAGAAAGTTTATTAGGGAATATTCAAGAAATCCATTCTGACTGAGCATAATCATATGAATTGAAAGTATATCCTTCTTTAATTTTAGATGAATTTCAAAACAATGCATAAATTCAAAGAGAGCAAAGTGATGATTGAAGTTCCTGATGTAGCTCAGTTACTTCAGAAGGTTTATTGGTTGTGAGCCTAAAACATTTCAGGCTTCTGTTCAAGCAGGGACAAAACTTTCGAAGCGAGAGATATTTTGTAAGATTCATGCTTCGCCAAGCATTGAAATTACGATATTGGATTGCAGCTGGTGTTTTTAGCGGTTCCGTTGCAGCTAGTAACGTAAGTGAGAGTTACTTATTGCATCATACGGTTCATTATGTAAATCAAGAAAAATCATTGAATAAAGCATCAGCAACATTCTGGAGTATTAGGAGTATTAGGTTTCCTCCAAATATCAAGTTTTAGCGATATGAAGAATGGAAGAAAACTTTGCCACAGCTTTCTTTACCTGGATGGGTCAAAATGGATGAAGAACGGATGAATGAATACAGAAACTTTTATTATGAAGCAAAATCGAAATGGTTGGCCAAAGAACAAATATGGCTGAAGAATTTACAAACGAAAATGGCTGATTTACAAAATATGTGGAAATTAGAACCTATTGAAGGTCGGACTTTGTTATGCTATACGGGCAAGTTTTACTGTGGAATAACCGTAGTTTCTCCTTTTTTTTTCTTTTTTCAGCAGTGATAAACTATAAACATTTTTAAAAAGACCAAGTGGTACAGCAACACTTACGTTGCATTTTAAGTTTGGTCCTGTAAACACTGTGATCCACTGACTCTCCTGTGGATAATGGCCGCTTTTTCCTTTGGTTTGAGTTCGGAAAATTACGAATAATAATAATTTTCAATATTGGATTTGATCCTTCTATTACAGTAGCTACAAAAATCATTACTTCCATCTTCATTGACTGGTTTTCAGACAATTCTCCAGATGGAGTTCAAGATCCGGAACCACAAAACGGTCATTTCTTTTCTGGATTAGATTTCATGGCGCAAAATGGTAAATACATCTGTTTTGCTTTCTTTTTCCTTCTCTTCATTTGAATATCAAATTTCTTTATAATATGCCTATTTATTTTTTCATCTTTAATCCTTTTTCTAAATTTAATTTTCTTTCAAATTTGATTTCCTTTCGGAATTCATTTATTTTTTCCATTCCACATTGCTTTGGACAAATTGCTAAACTTTTTCCTGTTCTAATAGATGAATTTTGCATAATTTTTTATAATTTCAGAGGTTAAACAACATTTCGCAGACGATGATGGTAAGTTTATCTGTGAATTGAATTTTTTAATGCCTTTTTATATTAATGTAGTTCTCACATCATTTTATTTAGGTGCGCTTCTGATGGGTTTTTGATTCTTAATGGTTTTCGGTATTTCTGGAAGGAATTTCATTTTGCACTTTTCTATTTTTTTTATTTTTTTGAGATTTTAGCACCCAAAACACTATTTTCATCTTTATCGGAGGCGTTCAAAAGAAAGAGGAATACGTCAGAACACGAAAAAGATGAATACGCAAAGGTAGTTATTGTAAATGCATTGACACTTGTTTGAAGCACCATGAATTGAAACTGAAATATTGTAAGTTAAAGTCTTGAACGAAATGTTTTGAACGAAATTTGCATCATCACCTTATATTTGTAGATGAATGAAACGGAGAGGATTCAAAAGCTGCAAGAAGAAATGCTGAAAACTCAGGTTTCGTAGATTTTTTTGTTTTTTGTTTGCAATCTACAAAGAGATCTTTTTGTGTATTTGTAGTTGGTTTGCTATTGTTAGGCTTGAGACTAAAATATGTTTGCTTCTGGACTTGATATATGGCGGTTTTTTTTTTTTTTTCAGAGTCAATACCAGCGAGAACTCGAAAGATTAGAGAAAGAAAATAAAAATTTGAGGCAGAGGTTATTGCTGAAAGATCAAGGTGCCTCACGCAGGCTGAAGAAAATGAAGGTTTACTTTTGCTTAATCTGTTTATGACTGACTAAATTCTGCCAAAGATTATCAGAAAATCTGCAGAGGTTTTTTGAACTTTGGATTTAAGTTTCAAGTTCTTTTTTTGAACTTTGGATAATTTTTGGTACATCCAAAAATTCTTCGAAGTGTTCTCATTTCATCCATATCCAACGGCGTCAATATAAACTCGATTTATGATAGAAGTCTTTGATCGACTTGTATTCGGAAGCGCTCGATCTGCTCACTGAATATGATTCGTCGTACAATACAGCTGATAATTTACCACGTGTGGTTGTCGTTGGGGATCAAAGTGCTGGTGATTTTTTCCGGAAAAATTTTGTATAAAATCTAAAAGGAACAAGTTATGAATTATTGTAACATTAATCATTTAATTAGTCATCTAATTAGAAAGAAAAAGTAATTTCTTTAATTTCTTTTTTAATTTTCTAATCTCTTCTTTCCCAATTAATTAATTTTTCTTGATTTTCTTATTAATTCCTTGAAAAAAGTTTGACTAGCCAATATTGCGGTTCCCTCTTACATCTGAGAACTTTAGGCAAAACATCCGTCTTAGAAATGATAGCTCAGGCTCGTATATTTCCTCGTGGATCAGGCGAAATGATGACAAGAGCTCCAGTAAAGGTGACTGAAATTATTTTCAAAGATTTTGAGAAAATCTAAAGTATACACTAAATCATTTGATGTTTTTAATAATAATTCGTCAATCATTTCTCAAACTTAGTTGTTAACAATTTGAATGAATCACTGTAGGTAACCCTGAGCGAAGGACCATATCACATTGCTTGCTTCAAAGACAGCAGTCGTGAATTTGACCTAACAAAGGAATCAGAGCTGAAGCAGCTGAGAAATGAAATCGAAATAAGGATGAGAAATTCAGTTGCCAGCGGTAAAACGGTGTCAAATGAAGTAATTGCGTTGACGGTTAAGGGTAACTTTTTGTCCTTATAAAATTTAAGAGATTCATCAACATGTTGGTAATGTGTAGAGCTTTCGAATTTAGTTCCATCTCTTGAATTTGACCTAACAAAGGAATCAGAACTGAATCACCTAAGAAATGAAATCAAAATAAGGATGTGGAACATCTGGTTCAAATTTTCACTGATTCATCATGAGAATAATTAGCTGAGGTATTTAACAGATATCAATGATTTTGGAGTCCTGCTAAATTAAAAGTTGTATATTTGATGCGGCTACTCTGATGAGTATACTATCCACGCTTTAGTTATAATAGAAACTCGATAGAGATATACCTCGTCATCATCTCAAACTGCATCCCCTCAAACTGCATTCTCACCAAATGTTAATCGATACCGTCTATGAGGATCATAAAGCCAACTAGTTAAAACTTTTTTAGGTCCATCTCTTCCACGAATGGTTTTGGTTGACTTACCGGGCGTTATATCAACGGTGACGGTTGATATGGCCAAAGAAACGAAGGATGATATTGTTAAAATGTGCAGAACATATATGGAAAATCCAAACGCTATCATCCTATGCATACAAGGTATGTTCTTTTCAGTTCAGTGAGATTTTTATATTTGAAACTAATAGGTTTCGTTTTGGATAATTGGATAATATATACTTTTTTTCAACATTTCAAAGATATAATTAAGTGCAATTTTTCGATACGTCTTTTAACAATAGCTTATACTGCCATCATAAGGTGTTGCCTTTTTTGGCTATATTGTCTGCTCTTTATATTTCTTCCTCCCTTGATGGCCTATTTTTGCGATCATGAAATAAAGTTGCTAAAAATAGAAGTTTTAGATGGTTCCGTTGATGCTGAACGTAGCAATGTAACAGATCTTGTGAGTGCTGTCGATCCTGTCGGTGAAAGAACTATTTTAGTGCTAACTAAGGTGGGCTGCGCTTGATTTGTCGATTAAATTAAAATCAAAGTAGGTATTGTTCGTTATTCACCAGATATTCGATGTGAAAAAATTTTATTATAGGTTGATTTGGCAGAAAAGAATTTCGCAAATCCTGATCGAATAAAGAAAATTTTGGAAGGCAAATTGTTTCCCATGAAAGCTCTAGGCTATTATGCCGTTGTCACAGGTAAAGGTTCGAGCACTGAAAGTATTGAATCCATTGTAAAGTATGAAGAAGAATTCTTCGCAAGATCCAAGCTTTTCAAGTAAGTACTTTACGATTTGTTCAATTAATTAAAGTTCAAGTTCGAATTGACGATTAATAGATCTCCCTGTACTCCACACACTGACATATAGCACCTTCATTTGATGATCACAAATTATTCATAACCACCGTTTTTTTTCCTTACTTTTTTTGCTGCACAATTTTTTGCTCAGTTTGAAAACTTGAATCAGATTTTATTTAGAGATGGTATCCTAAAACACTCACAAGTGACAACTAGAAATATGTCTTTGGCTGTATCAGATTGCTTCTGGAGAATGGTCAAGGATTCAATCGAATCACAGGCAGAAAATTTTTAAATTCTTTTAGCATTAGTGCCACTTCACCTCATATAGAACACAGCTATGTTGTCATTTTGCTTTGAGAAGCTAGATCTTTCAAGATTCATTTTGTTAAAACATTGAAGTAAACAGGTACTGATCAGTAACTTCTTCTGGTTCGTCTTTCAATATTTATTACTATAAAATTTGAAATTTTATAGGCTGATGCATTTCGTGCAGCACGTTTCAATCTTGAAACTGAATGGAAGAATAAATTTCCCAGAATACGCGAATTGGATCGTGATGAGCTGTTCGACAAAGCGAAAGGTGAAATACTAGATGAAATAGTCAACCTATCACTTGTACCAGCGGAACAATGGGAGAAATTTTTGAAAAAGAAACTGTGGGACGCAGTGAGTTGTTTATTTTACACTTTGTAGTTAAACATTTTAAAAGATTTATTAAAGAAGGAATGTTATTTTGATATTTTACTATTGAAAAGTTACATCAACGGATAACCCTCGTTCGTTTTTTTTGTAATATCCGAAACAAGATGTAACTTCTATGTATTTTAATGTTCATTGTAAAAAAAAGTCAATTCCAGTTTTCTGCAGAAGTTCATGTAAGTAGTCTATTTCGTTTGTGCACTGTAAAGTTACTGTCATGTTTTGTGCATTTACAAAGTTATTTTATTTCAAACATAAATGTTTACTTCAATTCTAGGTATCAAGCCATATCTTTGATCAGATTTTAATGCCTGCTTATGCCGTTGATAATGCGGGTACTTTTAATACATTGGTAGATATCAAAATGAAACACTGGGCTGATAAAGATTTGGCGATTAAATCTATACAGGTGAATTCTTATTTATTATTTAACGGCATGCAACCAGTAACGCATTGTTAAATGTAACAGGAGTTTTTTTTTGTAACGGAATAAATGTAACAGTAATTTTTGGGGGTTTTCGAAATCACTTTCATTACTTGAAATCAAATCGGAATTAAAAAATTTTCGCGGAAATATTTTTAGACTGGATGGGAAATTCTGTCGGAACTGTTCAGAAAGCAAATGGAAGATACGAAAGTTCGCAAAAGTGATGATAGTGAGGTGTTTGATCGGTTAAAACGTGCCGTCCTAGAAGCTGCATTAAGTGAGCACCAGTGGGATAGTAAGGCTGTGGATTACTTGGTAATTATCCTCTTTCTACTTTCACTATAGATATCATGATTTTAAAATATTTCTTAGCTTTGAACGAACTACAGTCACTTTTCTTTACCATTTGAAATCACGTAATTCATCAAGTTTTAAGACAGTTTTACAAAGACTCTTTGAAGGGTTTAAAAGAAAAAAACCGAAATTATTTGAATGTTTAAAGTATGAGGTTCAGATAATTGCATAGCTTCCTTTTAGAGAGTTATTCAACTAAACGCAATGGAGGATCGTGTTGTACCCGACCGTCGTTCATGGGATAACGCCATCGAATTTATGACATCTGCCATACGGGATCGTTTAACTGAGGTCTAGTCTGCATGTGTTTTAGATTGGATGCCTAATCAGAAGTACAAAATGCTAAATACATCTCTGGAAAAAATTATATATTTGGAAATTTTCAGACTCGCAAACTGATAGATGAATTGCATGGTCCTTCATTTTGGGCACGTTGGATTTACTGGAAAACACCAACTGCTGAAAACAATTTGGCTGGTGCTGTCCAGGAGGAATTAAAGAACTTATTAATACAGAATCCCGTAAGTAATCCAGCAATAACAATGAACAAGATGTGAAGTAGTTGAAATTAGATAAAATTAAGGACAGCTTTGATGTTGCAGAATTCTGTAATGAATACTTCATTTTTTTCCCCCATCCTAGAATCATCCTCAGTCATTGTTGGACGATGATTTGACCATTGTAAGAAGAAATCTAGAAGCAAAGGGTTTGAATGAATTGAGCAACGAACTGATTCGAAAACAATGGAAATTGATATATCGGGAACACTTTCTGGAACGGCAATATCAGGTATCACAATTCCATGTTTATCTCTTATTTCACTTTTTTATGGAATGTACAATTTTTTTATTCGGATTTCGTCTTTGTCTGTTACTCTTCGCTTCATAGTTTTTTGCAGGAGAATGCAGTCATGATTTTGTGCTTAGTGCGTGTATCGTTAAAGTACTATTTTCATTTCTTCATTTGTAGACAGCTGTGGAGTGTCAAGGTTTCTACCCACACTACAAACTTGGTTTCAATGATACAGAGGTGGATTGTCAGGCAGTGGTACTCTTTTACAGAATACAAAAGATGATCGATTTAACGTGCAATGCATTACGACAACAAATCACAAATACGGAACAAAGAAGGTTGGAGAAAGAAATTAAGGTGAAAATTTTAAGATCAAAATTTGAAAATAGTAAGTTACAGTGAAGTGTAGAACTTATTTTTATTGTTAAGAAATATCGGGAATAGGTTAAACATCTGAAAAGATGTCACCCTTATGTCTTTTTCAAATTACTGTGCATGTAATTCATTTCTCAGAAACATCGAGAAGAGTTTTCGAGAAGGCAAATAATTCTTGTAATTACTGTTGGTTTAGTTCTGAGGATTTTCTGATTTACTGTGCCTGCAAGTTGCCAAAAGATGGAAACTATCAATCTTAGTTCGGTTTTTTATTATTTATAGTATCAGACATTCCTTGGTATGAAATCGCGACATCATAAAATCAGAATCAATGGCACATTAAATTTCTTTGTTTTTCAGGATGTCTTAGATGAATGGGCTCATGATACAGACAAAAAAAAAGAATATTTAACTGGTAGACGTGTTGAGCTAGCCGAAGAATTAAGTAAGCCTTTGTTTCACCATTTTTAATTCTTGTAAAATTCAAATGCAACTATGTCAGATCCATCTCATATTGATTAAGTATGTAATAATTAATATATTATTGAATCGTCTCTCGGTTTTACACATATGCTGGATAATTTGAACTCATTTGCAGTGTTATTTCCTTGATTTCAGAGCAGGTTCGCCATATCCAGGAAAGGCTGGAGGAATTTATGGTGCAGTTGCAAGAGGAGAAATCATCTTAAAGATTGTATCTTACCACGCTGCTTATATGCTACAAGTTTGATGTTTTGGTTTGTGCCATAGTTTTTTATATTTGTATTTCTCTTCTAAATTTTGTGCAAGCATACAGTTTGTATATAAATGTTTGTTAATAAAATCTCATTTTAGTGATAATTTTTTTACATTTTAGTGGTAATTTTCCGCAGCGAATAATCTCAGCGAAGCTTAGTTTCTCAGATTTTAATTTTAAATTTTCGACTCACTGGAAAAATAACTCAAAAAATCAAAAAAAGATGAATTCAGGGAGTATTAAAAGAATCAGTTATCTTTGAGAATTTCTTTCTTTTCTACAAATTGACTTTTCATAGAATCTAAGAAATTTCCGGTCATAGATTTGATAGCACAAAAATAGTTTTGGTCTTCCTCAACTTCCCACTGATTCTGCATGATCGTGCCAAGAAAATCTTATTGATCTTTTCCTTCAATTATGTTTTCGGATATGCTTTCGCAATGATTATAATACCCGAAATTTTGATGAAATGCTCGAAAGAGTAAGGACTAATTATTAATATGTTTACATTGTATCTTTCAACATATGTTGGATTTATTTAGAAATTCAACAGATGTTAGATTATTTAATTTGGGTCGATCATCAACACTAATAGGATATTAGGAAGTAAACACTACAAATTAAACTAAATGATGCTAAAAGATGTTTTTCGAGAAAAGCAAATGCGAATAAATGTAATAAAAGAAAAAAGAATGAATGATCAGAGTCTGAATAGCACAGCTTAAAGTAGAGTAGCTTATCTCATTCTTCAAGAAATTACGTTTTAAAATGTCCTTATAAGGATGCGCCATTTTGCTACACAAATGCATCGAAATTAAAAATTTCTAAAGTAAATTGACAACAATGATAACAACAGCAGTCTTGTTTTTTCATTTATCAATATCGCTTTTCGTCTTTTTTTTTTTTTTTGTAATTTCAATATTAAAAAATTATTTCAATGAATTTGAAAAATTCAATTCTTCCACATTTCCCAGTTAATTTTTCATTGCTTTTTCGATTATAAAACATATAATATCATTATAATGAATTAAACAATCAAAATATATGTTTAAGAA